CAGAAACACCACATACAACCATTAAATATTCACATGATTCGATTTCCCCAGTTATCTTCTGGTTATGACATACCTTTGGTGTGATAATATATTCAATACTAACTTGTTATTATTTATAGTGATTATTATTTATTAAGAATAATTATTAAGGTATGCTTATTTATTAAAGAAGATGCTTATATAATTGATATTGTTGCACAAAAATTAAACATAATGATATTAACAATGAATAATTTTTCTTTAAGGGGTGTCGAAGATAAAGGAGATGAGTCATAATCATTAGATTATGGATATACTCTCGTTAAAACAACAATATAAAGAATGAGAAATATTATATTACTCATTAAAATCAAAATAAAAGTCATGCAGCAACTTAAATGAAAAATCATTTAAGTCGAGCATGTTTGAAAAAACTTTATTTGAATAGAAATAAAGCATAAATAAGAAACTGATTTTCTCACTTCTCAACATAATGAAAACCTAAAGATGAGATTAATCATAATTAATCCATTATATATTTTAATGTATTTTTGAATATGACATGTGCTTGTTTCATTATTAATTTTATACAATTTATTATGTTGAAGTAATTAATAGAAATACATATTATATTTGTTTAATCAATACGCAAAATAGAATTTAAATAGTAAATAACATTAAAATATAATTCATTAATATAATATCAGTATTTCTCAGTTGAGTAGAACATAAAATACACAATGAGTATTACATTTAGAATGATTTAATAATAAAATATCATATTATCATCACATTCTTATATATTATGACTTAATAATTTCATTAATTACATTTAATCCATCATCTACTCTGAATAAACCAAAATCAAAACATCTTTATTATGTTTTTGAAAAAATACAATCCATTGAAGTAAAGTATTGTTAAGATGTTCCAAATTAAGTTAATTCGTTTTTTGCTTTTATTGAATAATTGGTTTTCTTGTTTTATTTTTTATTTGTTTGTTGTTGTGGTGTTATTATTAACATCATATTAACATTACATAATATTTTTACATTATTGTTTGAATATATTTCAAATGATAAAAATGAAAATATTATTATTTATAACATTACATAAAAACGATACAAAACGATTAAAAATAAATTGAATCACAATATTTTTATTTGATTTTGTAAGTTATCGTGTTCTAGATTATTTAGACATCATTCTTATTTTTATTTCTTTACTCCCTTTCTTTATTTAAACAAAATCATATAATCGTTATTTCATTAATAAACATGGGAGATTGGTATGTCATAGGTTCAAACCTTGAAGGAGAACATGGATTAGTTGAACAAAGAAATTGTCCACAAGGAAGACCTTTTTGCCATCAACTTATTGATGAATGTATTAGAGAAGGAAGAACTTTACATGTTCATCAACAGGATTGGCAGATAAACTCCTTCACTTATGAGAAACTCTAAACATTCTCTAATTTACTTTTATCTTTTTTATTTTATTCTTTCTTATTTTCTTTTCTATTCTATTTTTCTTATATAAAAATTATTTGTTTATATTGAATAACTTATCTTCTCATTCTATTATTTTATTTATTATATTTTATTTTTATTTCATTTCTCAACTTCATCACTAAACAATAAAATCAAAATAATGAAAAGATAAATTTAATATCGAATGACGTTTAACATATAATTTATAAATAAATATATCACATAACATAATAGGGGTAATGTAAATTAATAAAATAATAAAAGGGTATAAAATAGAAAATAGGAAAGAGGTAATAAATACGATAAATATGAATAATATGAAATAAAAAGAAAACGATAACTTGATAATTCAGAACAAATGCATACAAAACACTCTAATACAGAAAGAATGAAAAGAAGTGCAGAAATAGCTTATCTCAAAGAATATTATCCACAAAATTTAGTTCGATTTCATAAAATAGGTGTAAAACTTCAAAACGCACCAGAAAAAGAAAATGAAGTTGTTGTTGAACTTGATGTACATTTTCAAATTGATGGAAAAGAATATCTTGTTTTTTTTAATAACCATTTAAAGGAAATAAATACAGTTTTAAATCGTTGGTTAGAAAATGAATTTTCAGAACATTACATTATTATGCCAGATATTGCTAAAATGTTAGTTAAATAAATTGTGATGTATATTTGCAAAAGCTTTATCTTCAAAAGCAAAAGAAGATGAAAGAATTTATCGACTAGCATATCATGTTTATAAAACAAAAGAATTAATTGAAAAATATGGAAGTGAAATACAAACAGGTAAAATATGTGCTATATGTATTGAAAAGAATTTCAATGGGAAGAGTGAATGTATGACAGATTGTTTTAATGAATTTTATCAAGAGGTAGAAGCAATGCTTTATAAAACAATGTCATCTTACGAAAAAAGTAAAGATGAAAAATTGAATGATTTAAATACATTTTTATATGGGTGTGAGAAAATAATTCAACCAACATTAAATGAATGGAGAAGAATGTGTTTTTGTTTTGTAATTAATAGAGTGAATTATTATCTTACAAGAGAAGAAGAATTATTAAGCGACAAATCATATGAAGAATTAAAAACAATGACAAATCTTAGGAAAAGATTGAATCAGCTTGCTATTAAATACAAACATTTGTATTTAACAAATACACAAAGTCTTCTTGGAATTAGAATAAGTCGATGTAAAATTCTTGTTGATAATAGTAAATGTAAAACAATATTTATTGAAAGTTCAAATGTCAGAGAGTTTTATAAAAAGATTAATAAAAGGTTAGATGCAGAAGTACAGATTCTTACAAACGAATATTCATTCAGTAAATTCACATTAGAAAAGATTATAAAAACAGCACAGAGTTTAAACCTAGATAACATTCAAGATTCAATAGATAAAAAGAAAAAAGAAATCAATGAAAAAAAAGAAGAAAGAGAAAAGTTATTGGGAAATGCAGCAACTGAAGTTGGAAAAGTAATCATAGAGAAAGTAGAATCTATAACAGATATTGCCGTTTCAATTTATAATATTGGTTCATTGATACAGCAATTTAAAATAAAAGATATAATAGATTATATGTTAACACAAAATAAAATAGAAAATTCAAATGAACAACAAAAAGATGATAAAAAAGAGAATACTAATCCACCAAAAACTGAAACTAGTAGTAAAGAAAATAAAGAAATAATTCAATCATCTAATACAAACAAACAAATTAATTCATTAACTTCACTTGCATTAAATAATACACCACTTGGAATAGCATTAAAAGCTATCAAACCTACTCCAGAACAATTAGATAAATTAC